CCCCCCCTTTCCCTGACTAGACTAATTACCTCCTCCCCTACCCTTGCTACTAACACTGCCTGTCATCCAACAGTTGACCTTTTTAGGAAGGCTGAAGTAGAAAAAGGCGTTCTGCTGTTCAAATCCAAAATATTCCATTTCCAGCTTTCAAAATATGCCACAAGTCTCTGTAATATTTTATTAAGCATCAAAACTATCTGCTGTGCATGTAACACAGTATATGTTCTGCCCTTTACAACTTCTCTTCAGCAATTTATTCTTATTTAGATTTATAGCCAATGTTAAACTGGGAGTCAGTCTAAATGATCTGGCCTCAGCATCTCTTTCTCCGTCTCTCATCTTCCAGAGACCATAGCTATCCTGCTATGGCAACTGTTCATCCTCTTGTTTTCAAGAGACAGGATGAGCATCATTAAGTGAAACTAGAGAGGAATGTCACAGGCTAAGTACCAACACTGGGCAAGACTGAAATTCCAACAGGATTAGTTATCAACTCTTCCTACTATATTAGGAATCACCATGACTCAGGGGTTTTTAGGGTTTCAGAATTCCAGTTTCCTTTGCCATTGGACTAAGGCAGCCATGGCTGTATCTACATTGACAGGAGCAACCTTAAGATTGCTCTTATGCCCATACCCAACAACCATCTACAGTAAAAACCCTTAAGGTCTGACATCAATCAGCAGTTCAGCCCTATTTGGCAAGTTCTGCTTAACTCTAGTGTCTGTGGTCAAGCCTGTCTCCTCAGTTCACTCTGCCATGTGTCTGGAAATCACCTGGGTCCTGCAGGCTACAAGCACAGAGTCTACCAGAAGCAATCCTACAACTTCCAGTTCCTGACTTCAAGCCCTTCGGCATCCTACATCCTGTAGTTAGATCCAAGCACAGAAGGTGAAACTTATTAACTTGTGGACAGATCCTCAAGGGCTCTCTCACGGGATAAGCAGCACAACGTGGATAGTTTTGGTGTGAGCAGCAAGGTAAGATATAGGTAGGGAGAGGCAGCTCATTTGGTTCAGGCTGGTGGAGGACAACTTTCTGGGTCAACCTTAAATATCAATGTAGACCAGTGATTCTCAGCCAGACTGCCAGGGTACCCTGGGGTGCTGGGAGATGTTTTGAATGGTGCCATGAGGTATGTGGAGATAAAGTGTGAGGAAGTCAAGCTCAGGCTCAGGCAGGATTCCAGGGATGCCGTGCAGCTGCCCCACCCCTGTTATCTGGTTTCTCTACAATGCGATAAGCACCGTAGTTTGAAATGGTTCAATTAACAAAAGTAATAGAGGGGTGCCTTAAATCTAAAAAAGGTTGAAAAACATTTATTCTAGACACACCCTAAATGCAGCAACAGATGTTTCATCTAGCAATGTTTTTCCAGCTCTTAAGTCTAGCAATTTTTCTTTTGAGTTGTGCTTCAAACCTTGAGGACTTTGACACAATAGAACTGACCTTGTTCAACCCAAATTTAAGTTTTTCTTCCCTTGTTCATTGTTGCAGTTGATTACTAATTAGCAGCATGCTATTATGTTTCACACACCAGATTTCTGAAGGACTTCTGGCCCCAGAAGTTTGCTTTTTCTTAGTTTTTATTTAAGGCTGCTTTCTGCAATGACTCCACACTGTTCATAACCACAGAAACTGGGTTGCTAAAACATTTAATCACTGCTTAGTTAAAATATTAAGTCTGAACAATACCAATGAATTGTTCGACAAAGAAGACATTTTCATTGTGCCTGTGCATTCGTTGATATGGGGAAGAATGGAGTAAAAGCCTTGGAGTCTTTGAGCTACCTTAAGGCAAACTTACTACTCGTTATTAACTTAATGTCTATTAACATGAACATCTTTTTATTTAATTTTTTGTAACAAATATCAATTCATAGGAACAAATTCCTGAAACATGTATCCAGCTGTTCAGCAACACTTCTTTCATCACAAATTATGAACTAACACTGAGACATGCTGGGTGCATGTATACATGTTATTAATATGCTATAAGCTTACTGCACAGTAAGCTTTCCCTGGGAGTATGTCTATACATGAGCCCATTGGGAGTAGATTTACTCCTGACAGGAGCAATTCAGTGCAAAACTACTCCTGCTCTCCTCTGCCTCCAGCACAGCAGCCAGGGGAGCTCCAGGCTACCCCAGGTGCCAGCCCCAGGCTGGCAGGGGGCACCAGGGGCAGGGGGAATTGATTGGCAGATCAGGGCACAGGGCTGGGAAACTGTCCCTTCCCCTAGCAGCTGTTTCCCAGTCCCATGTCCCAATCTGCTGATTGGGGCACAGGGCTGGGAGGCAGCTGCCTGGGAAGGGGACAGTTTCCCTGCCCCCTGCTGCCTGGGCTGACCAGGAGCAATTTGCTCCCCACCAGCTATCTACAAGTGCTACTGTACAGTAGGTAATGCACAGTTAATGTACTACTTGGATTTACAGGCAGCAGAAAACTGCGTATTAGCCTAATTTACTGCACAGTAGCTGCTGTGCACAGTTACATGGTGACTAATCAACTGCATAGTAAAGTATCTCATGTAGATATGTCTGCTGAGTACCCAAAATTCAAGGTAGCTTTAATGAGATATGCAAGTCGCCCCTTTCGGCATATGAGGTACCAGCATGTGCTCAGCACAAGAGCTTAGTTGACATACTTAGCCATTCTTCCAGGTAGGAGCATCACCACCACCACTTACACTTACATCCCACACAAAGTTTAAAATAAACTGCCCAGCAAGGACAGCCACGTTTCTATTTAGGTGGAGCTGAAGGAGTAACCTGTTATCTCCTCCTGGTGATGTTTCTCTGCTCACCTCCAATAATGGTGTACCACTATCTAGGAACCTGCACTGGGTGGCTTTCTTCCTTGGGAATTCGAACACAAAACAAATTAAGAGACAGGATGGGGAGGGGCAGGGCTAAAAAGCAGGCTGAGCTGTGTGGTGATGCCACAGATTAGGGCTAGGTGGGAGTTGCAAAGGTAAGGGGAAGAGGTAAATTACTGCAGCAACCCTTCCCTGGGGCTGAAGCGAGTCCTCATCTAAAAAACTCTTCAATATGAAAAGATGTATGTTACTTTCTGCAAGACAGAGTTCCTGTTGCTCTTTTCCTTTGTATTATCTAGACTGAATTTGTGATCCTGTTTTAAATGAAGCTAATAGATAGACTATTAACTCATGCACTTTAAAAACACTCTAAAAAAAAGTTTGTTTCACCATGTGGCAGAATGCCATCTCTGTCTCTCCCCAAACTCTGCTATCAGGTGGATGACAACTCTGACAATTTGGTTACCATGGTCACTGCAAAGGGCAGACACCCCTGGCCCCATCGGCTTCCGGTAACCCTGAGTTGTAACCTGAGCTGGATACATTCCTGAGGGAGGGGGAAACCTGCTCCCTCTGCCTATGTGACTGGCCTCACACACCTGGGCAGGGGCTTCAACTCCCTGTTGTTCTAGGCAAAGTAATCATGACTGGGAGGGGGCTAGAGACCCTGCCAGTCTGCCTGGCAACCAGTGATGCATTTCAAATTGGCTGGCTGGGAGCCAACAGCTGCTGGCCTTCATTGGATCAGGTAAATGAGGTCATAAGGGCTATCTAAGTTAAGGACTGCCCAGGAGGCAAGGTAGTAGCCATGATGAGAACTCTCAGAGAAGCTGGACCATCTGAAACTCGCTCTGTCTCTTCAAACTTGCTCTGTCTCTTGAAACTCATGTTCAATGAACTGCTTGCCGCCAGAGGGAATCTCCACCTGCCTCTGCATGATATTTGTGAGTAAGCTACTTGAGATCTAACTAGATATATAGCTTGCAGTAACTCAGATGCGTGATCAAAGGCTACCATGCCACTGTTTGCTCTAAGGTATTTCTCTGATATTGCTCCACCCTGTACCCTATTCCAAACCTACTCCTTGTAACCAATAAAGTCCTCCTCTGTACCTAGAATGGGAGACTTATTGGAAGAGGGTCTAGATCATGCCTTGGGGTCCCCTTGGTTCAGCTGACTAAGGGAGACCACTATTTGTGCTTCAGACTGAGGGAAGCACCCCAAGTTCATGCAATGGGTCGAGTACCCCTCAAGGACTGCTAGGCCTGCGTTTCCCAGGGGGCACAGGGCCAAAATCAGTCCAGATCCTGGGTGGTGGCGGCATTACATCCAGGCTTGCAAGTGTGCTCCAGGTAGGGGGTTAGCCAGATGCAAAGCACCCCCAGGGAGGCACTCGGAGCCTGGAAGGTGGTCAGGCGCAGTGAGGTGAGTGGCTCAGTGCAGGAGCACCCCCTACTGGCCCACCACACACCATAGCTTGGGCTTTGGAAGAAATCACTCTAGAGTGCCTGGAGAAATATCTATAATTCTTCTAATTAGCTTGAGTTACCTGGCCATCAGTTAATTTGAGTTCAAACAGAACTATAAATGCTAATCTATACAAATCCCTTGGTGCTAAACAGTTGAATGTTATGCCAAATGAGACAGGCAGATTTTTGCACCCAGTTAAAAAAAAAAAAGTATAGAAGGTTTAGGGCAACATAGAATAAAGCTCAGCAACTTCATGAAAAATGTGTTTGCTAAATTCCAAGTGTCCTAAATACTTTGCACAACCTAGTAGGCAGCTGAAGGGCAGGCCTAAGGGCACAATTTGTAAACAAAATAGTTTCCTTAGCAGTGTTTCATGTAATGCTTAACACTATTGATTAAGGAGCAGAGTCCATTACTCTAACTCATACTGGGGACTGCACACAGTTCCACATGAGTAAGAGTAGCAAAATCTAATGCTGAATTCATATATAACATATGCTTCAATATTTTCCTCTCATTCCTAAATGAAATCCTTAGGGAATATGGGTTGTACTACCTCATAAATCAGTTATTCTTGATTTTCTTTTCAGAGAAGATTATCACCTTAATATAACTTGAATCATTCACTCCTGTAAAGTGTGACAGCATTTAAGGCCTACCATAATTTCTTGCATATAACATGCCCTGGCATAAGATACACACCTTGTTTCTGAAAGGCAAAATGAAGAAAAGATCTTTCCTCGTTGTAAGTAATGGAGTAGCAGCAGCTAGAGGGCCAAGCCTCCTCACAGTTCTATTCCTGTGGAGCACATGCAGTTACTTGGGAAGGATCACCTTCCCATCAACTACTTATTTCAGAAAACAGGGAGGCAAATTTTAAAAGAGAATTTTGCATGGATTTCTTACAAATTTGCTGATAGACATTGTTATGTTAAAACCCAAATGGTAAGTGTTATCTTGGAAGAATCTTGTATCCTGGATAAATATGATCGGTGGCCTTTCCCACTGTGGAATCTGAGGCCTTGCAATAGCTTTAACCATAATTTTTTTAAGGTGGGAAGAAAAGTAGCAAGTAAGTATTTTATACCTGCCTGCCTTTCTAGTTAAAGAAAAATGGAACCCTGACCTCAGACCTTGAACTCCTGATAGACTAACAATCTTTCAGTGCATTTTTATTGTGTCATTTTTAACACCGTTCATTTTTAATTTATATCAAAGTTGCTGTTTGTGCAATGGTTCAAATTCATTAACTGCTTTACAAGTCCTATGGCAGTTGCTATTATAAGTCAAATAAAACCTCATAAGTATTTCCTAAGTTTACTAAACAGCAAAACTTTCATATCTATGATACCCTCTTATGGTGATCAGTGGCAAGAACTGAATTCATGTTACATCTTTACATCCACATGTTATTCAGTTAGGGCAGCTTCACCTCCTACTGATGTTATCAGGTACTTCAAATGCTCAACCTTTTACAGAATTAAGATGCTGGTAATTTGGGGATTACTTTTTTCAAAGAGTTAATCTTTAAATGCCAGCTTCTACACCATCCTTTGTTACATTAAACGAGCCCACCAATGGACAAGCACTTTTCTGGTTTTGGGGAAGACCATTTGTAGACTAAGGAACTACTCAAGGTGAGTAGAAAGCAGACTAGAGCCAAAAGTTATTCAAGAACAAATTATACAAAGTACAGTAAGGCAATAACACAATTATGTTCTATCACCATTACACGTTCTTTGCATCTGCATGTAATCATGGTATAATACACGAGAGAGACCAAGCAGCAAATTAAAGCTGCCTAGCTGCTGCCTCCTGATGCTTGTTTTTCATTCAGCTGCTTGTGTGGTTATCCTGACAAGCAATTTGTTTCTATCCTCTGCCTGGTTCCCAGATGGCTTTAATGACCTTGTACGTTACAAATGAGAACCACATTTGATGCTCAACACTTTCCTCAGGCTTTGAACAAGACTGTCATTTTCCACACAGCGATATCTCTGCACGTATGCAAGTTTTTCTACATGGATTCAGAACTCAGCCAAGGAATAGCATCTTTTTAAGGCAAAAATGCTTCCATATTATTTTCTAGCCCAGGGCTATACAACTTCCGGGTGGTGGGGGCTGCATGCCCCTAATGTTGCAGATCCACAGACTGCACGCACACAGCATAAGCCATGCATCATGGGTACAGTTTTCCCAGGTTCCCCCCTGTTGTTCAAGCAGCCTGCCCCAGCCTAGTCGTGTGTAGAGGGTGGATAGCCTCCTCTTCCCCCAGCCATGCATGCAGCCTGGCTCCCCTCAGCCCAGTGCTGGCAACACAGACCTCTATCCAGCTGCCTCCCACAGCACTGCCCTGCCCACAGAAGCTGGAAGAGAAAAAGTGCTGGGGGAAGCAGATTTCCTGGCTGCTGTAGCAGCAGGAGCAGTTGCAGGAGTAGTGGCCAAGTGGGAGCCCACAGGCCTTATGTTATCCCCTTATGAGCTGCCAGGTAGACAGCACAACAAAGTCATACACAGGTCCTGATATCCTGTACTGAGAGGCCTTTGCCTATAATTAATACTTAGTGCTCATAAAACATTTTTCATCCTCAGAATTTCTATATATTTATAAATCATTTAAATTGTATTAAACATTTTATCCTGCTCCACTGGTCAGTCTTAACTACCTGATATCATGAACTGTATACTCCTTATGAAAAGGCTATTTGTGTCTCACGCTGTGCTATGCAAACTGTCATTTTAATAACCAGGACTCCCATTTCTGAATGGGAAAACCAAGACACAAGAAGACTGAGTAGTGTGGACAAGGTCACACAGCGCACCTATAGCAGAAGCGAGGACAGCCTGACTTCTAGAGCAAATTGCAGTAGAAGAATTGCCCTTCTACTTTCTGCTGAATCCTTTCCTAAGTACTCCAATACTGATAAATGCTAAATTTATTATAAGGGGTGTAGGTTGTAGCCGTGTTGGCCTAAGGGCATAGACAGACAAGGTTATTTGGGTAAATCTGGTATTGTTTATGAGACGAACTAGAATAGTTGGAAAAATTCTTCTTAGAAAGCTTTCGAGCACAAATGCCCTTTGTCAGGCTGAGGAAGCGTCTGCAGAATTTATTACAAGTCAGTTTATATATCCAGACGATCTTCTCTGACAGATTTATATAATACTATACCTGGAACATTATCAAAAATAGTTCCAGTGTTAATCTTTCATTGAGAAATAGCTAATGTATCTGTTACTAGCTTCACCAGTTGATTCTGTAAATCATTTTGGAGTTTCCCATTTTCACTGCTCAATACTGCCCACATTGGATATAGCTTGCTCTTTCAGCTGAATGAGTGCAAACAGCTTTCACTGTGCTGTGCTCAAAGTCAACATATATATGTAGACCAAGAGCGGGCAACCTGCAGCATGCTTGCCACAAGTGACATGTGCAGCCTGTGTGTGGCACGGCAGATCAGACAGAGGGCAGGCAGCAAAGTGGTAGATAGGGCAGGGAGCAGAAAGCAGAGCAGTTGATCAAACAGAGAAAGGGGAATTGGAGTAGCACTCAGGAACGGTATGGAGCTAATTTGTGGCAAGCCTGGCAAAAAGGTTGCTCCCCACTGGTATAGAACATCAAAATACATTAGAGAGACATAAGAGTCATTACATTTGGGATTTAGAATGGCTACAGTAATACAATAAGCTTGATGAATTCTTTCTTACCTGCTCGAACACCTTCATAGAAGTCATGGCCCCTCTGAAAGGCAAAGAAACAGGAGACAAAATAATGCATTCTATTTCTCCCTCTTTACTGGGCTCAATACTTTTACATGAAGTTTCGATACTCTATGCAAATCTACTTCCTCTTTTTTCGTCTTGCCTTCCTCTCCTTCATTTTCAATTAACTCTCTATACTTAACAACTGTGCCTGTTACTTCCTTCCCCAAGTCTGGGTTGTGCACCTTCTTTCATACTATATATCTGAAGCAACCTTCCTGGTCCACCAACAAAATGCTCTCCTCCCACCCAAATATCTTTCTAAGCTTCCTTAACATATCTCTATATCTCTTGCCATTTGAACTGGTGTCCTGTGCATTTAGTTGACTGAATTACAGTTATGTCCTGCAAGTTCTCCCTCCATGGCATATATCCATATATTTTCTTTGTATAGGAATTTTGCAGAATCCTGGTATACAGGATTGGTCCCCAGCTTGTAAATTCCTTAGAGCAGGCTCTTTGTCTTCAATTGATATGCAAAATACTGTGCATGTTTAACATGTATTACAGTTAAATAATTCTGTTTCACCAGCCTCTGAAGTCCATTTGAAAGACGGGCCATTTATTATAAAACATTCCAATTCCTAAGGACACAATAAGAGAGTGATAACACACATTTTGGGAAAGGAGTGATAGTGATATCTGCAGGTCTGAATGGGATATGCCATTAATTTCTACTGTCTACTCTATATGATAGCATTGATTCTAAATAAGATTTTCTGTTGGTGTAATGAAAAGTGACCATAGTAAGAGGCTTATTGTCAGGGTTCATCCAGACAGTTAGTCAGTGACTGCTATACTGCTGAACCAGAATTACTTCCACTACACTTTACCTAGGTATACTGTAATTTTAAGGTACTCGCATAGTCCCACCTATCAGTACAACATCCTTTCATATATTTATTGTGACAACACTCTTGGGAGGTTGTCCTCATTTTACAGACAGGACCCAAGGCAGAGAGAAACTGACCTGCCACAGAAAGCAAGGGATTGAACCAGGCCAGACTTAGACGAATGCCCTCACCACAGGGCATTCCTTCCTCTTAATCTTATTTTAGTGACCATGTTTCCATCCAGTTGCATAAACTGGCATAAAAAGGTAAAGAAAAATGCCAACCTGAACAGATACACCAATAAGATACTAAACATAACATTTAATTGTCAGACATATTCAGTGCTGTTATTAACATGAAATACCAAAGCCTGAGATCAGTTTATCACATCTGGAAGTTAATATGATTAACTTCCTGCTTACCATGCATGCCTGGCTCAGTCTGTATTCCATTGTTAGAACATCTTGCAGGTCCATGGAAGCCCCTTCTTGAAGCTGTCTGAAAGTCATCTTTAAGGATGTTGGTGACATTTTACTAATGGTCTGTGGACGACAATACACTTCACTTTTTACTTTATTCGATATTTAGTCAAGTGATTTTCAAAAATGAAGAAAAAATTATTTAGTGACTTTAAACGGTAAGAAACAACATTCAGCAATATTCTAGAACAGGCGTTGGCAACATACGGCCCACAGCCTGGATATGGCCTGTGGAGCCACTGGAGCTGGAGGGTTTTGCCTGTGCCTGCACCCATTCCCATGCTGGGGCTGGACTGCAAGGAGCTGTGCCAGAGCCAGGCAACTTTCAGCTGTCCCTGCACTACTGCTGCTTCTCTCCACCCTCCCGGTTCCGGCCTGATGGGGGGCCGCCCGGGGGGGGGGGGGGGGGGGGCCGGTGTTCCCTGACACTGTGCCAGGAGCTGCATCTGTGCTACCGCTGCTTCTCCCAACCCCCATGCCCTGGCTGCCTCAGGAGGTGCATCTTCCAGGCCATGGGGAGCTGGGTCGAGGCCAAGACACCTCCGCCTGCTGCTGACACAATGTCAAGGCCACCCACATTACACTGGACCAGATCTGGGTCATTCCAGCCACCTTTGGGGAAGCTTCACTCCTTCACTTCTGAGGTTTGGTGCATGTAGAACAGGTGGAGGCGGGTGGGGGTCCTTGGCACTTAGGAGCTCTGAGGAAGTGCCGTAAACATACCATTAGATCTATAGATAAAAGGCAACAGTAAGTGTAAAGTGTTGTTGTTTTAACCCAGGGTGGTCCATCTTCTAAGCCCCTGGGGGCTACAGGCCACACCAGGGGAGCAACGGGCTGCATAGATGCTCCCTTCCCTCTCCCTACCCAACACCACACCCTGCTCCCCCGCACATTGTTCCATGTGGGCATCCTCTCACCACCGCACTGGGCACCCCGCACTGCCTCATGGTGCACCCCCTGCCTCCCACTGCTGCACCGCACCCGCCACCACTGCTCTGCAGGGCAAGAGGACAAGGTGGCAGCTGGAGGTGGGAGGGGAAGTCTGGCGACTCAAGGCTGCTATTGCAGCCAGAGCAGTGGAGTGAGAGCCCAGTGGCTCAATTTAACTTTTCACAGGCCGCACATGGCCCATGGGCCACCAGTTGGACAGCTCTTTTTTAACCATAAAGGAGCAGGACTCATGAGATGGCATTTCATTTTGTTCCTTGATACAGACAAACACTATTCAATTTCCAACTACAATTGTGAAGTATGGCCTTATATAAAAGATTAAAATGCCTATAGGTTGCAGTATGTTAAACATTTGTTATTTATTTATAGAGCTTTCTCAGTGTTTACAGAATCCATAGCAAGACACAATTCTTAACTACAATGTGTTTTAAAAGGAAAGACTTAATGAAGTGTCAGGAAATAACGTAGTGACTTTAGACATCTAAATTTAAATCTGCAGCTGTAACGAGAAAAATATAATTGGAATCCTGGCTTTACCAGTCTTCTCTCAGGGCTAGAATGTCTATAATGTCATCCAAAAATAAATATTCATATATGCAGTTGAATCTGATGACAAGCAGTTTGTTGGAAACCTTTTTGACAAATTATTCATTAGAAAAAACTTATCCTGCAGTTACAAAATACTGTAGCCATAAATTGGTCCTCCTTTAAAACCACCTTGCAAATTTTTAATAAAAGGTGACTGATATGTGGCTGTTCAGTATGACAATGGTATAACATTGAATATATATATTTTCCACCACAATAGCAGCCAGAATAAATTATCAGTTAACATAAGCATGAATAGTCTACTTTGTTTTTCAGGAGTATATCATAGGAAAGTAGGATGAGAAGGGACTTTATGAGGTCATCTAGTCCAGCCGCCTGCTCAAGGCAGGATCATCCCTGACTAAACCAATTCCAGATGAGGTTTTTACAGACCAATCCTTGATGGTTAGATTTCTTCTTTTTGAAGAGTAAGGAAGGCTAATCTGGAGCTGTGATTTTCAATCTACAGGTCTGTAAAATAACTAATGACCTATTTCAATCAATGGGAAAACTCTTCCTGACTTCAATAGGGCTTGAATTCACCATTTTTCAAGTACAGGTGCACTGGGAAAATCCTGGCATCTGTTGAAGTTGGTGGGGTTTGCCATCAGTTTTACTGGGGCCATGATTTTGCAGGCATAATGCAGAGAACTAAAATAAATTAACTTTGATTTGTTCATTGGTATTTAGGAATAAAATATTTTTGTGCTTCAGGTGCAGAGGGGTGTATATCTGTAGGTATGTGTAGTATATAGTACATATATTACATATGTAATGTAGAGTGTGTGTGTATAAGCATGTATTATAAATGAGCATAACTGAAAAATCTAACAGAGGATTTTTTGTTTGAAAGTATTAAGCTATTGATGTTAATAAGATGGAATTAACAGCATGGGCTGTGACCCAAGTAGGCAGTGGTTGTATGAGCTGCCTTATACCACTGGTATTAAGAGAGGTCTCGTAAGGTCCCAATTATTTCAGAAGAATAACCACAGCGTTTTACTTTGCTCTCTTGTTGTTTTTCCATAAAAACTCTACTAGTTTCTTTCAGATGAATATGCTTGTTTAGATGAATTGGTGCCTCCTGTCTGTTCTAAGGACATATGCAACTTTGGGCCTGTATTTCAGGCTTATTAACTCACCAAATATTGTTTTCCTGCTACAGCTATCTTGGGTTTATTGCTTTACTTATTTGAGAGGATGAATAGCTTAAAAAATATGAACGGCTTACAAAAGACCGCATATTATTCATTCATATAGGGAAGTGAAGACTGTCTAGCTTGAACTCAGTTAAACCTAACATGAATTAAAAAAGGGAGTAGTTTGGTTAAAGAAATAATTTCTTTTCAGTTGCTCTTAATCTGGTAGGCCCTTTTCATTTCTGGTACTCCTCTATGGAACATAATTAGGAACATCAGGATTAGAAAGATGGAGAGCTCTCTCCTTTACTTCTGAAGCTCTTAGAAGAAATCCCCCAAACCCTCCTCTTGGAACTCCCTAAATGCTGCAGTTGGATGGGATGCTGCATATGAGAAACTTTCTTAGCAACTAATATCTGCCTCTGAGATAGAACAGTTTTCTCCCCTCCTAATGCAACCCATTCCTTTTCTTTGTTTGTTTCCCCCAAACTGATCCCCTCCTCCTCCTTGCACAATCAGTTTATTTATAGATAGGCTGGTGAGTCATTTTTCTGCATTGCACCCACCCTGGATGCTGTTTTTTCTTTTCCTGTTCTTTTTTCCTTCCACTTGATTTATAGCAGTGCCCCCTCCACCTCCAGCCTTTCTGATTTTTCCAGATCAGGCAGCTGCTATGTACACTAGATTAGTAAACTGCTGTTCTCTGATCATTCCTGCTCCAGTGCTCTCTATCCACAATACACTGGGTGCACTGGGTTTGCATACAGCATTTGGCCTGGGCCCAGCTGAGACTTTAAGACCAGACAATGTGTCACCCAACAAATGGGCAGAGGGAACTGGGGAAGGTAGAGCAGATACAGCACAACAAGGTAGCTAGCAGCAGGTGGTATTTGCTGGAATTCGAAGTGTACAGTTTAAGCCAGTATTTATTCTTTCCAAAGGAGTTTCTCCATCAAACCAGCTGCCAGACGCATGCAAAACAGCATGGTAAAACTTGAAGCACTAGTTATGATTACAGGACCTACTGTTTGCACAGCAGCTGCAAGTTGTTAGTAGACATAAGTAAACAAGCAAAAATGGGTCAACTGCTGTCTGGAGAGAGAGGGAGAGAAATCCATGCGAGTGCAAGCCAGAAAAATTGTTGATGACTGGAAATCTGCCATTTCAGCTTTCAAGTTAAGAGTTTGATGTCCTTGTTGGAAATAATGTGAATAGGTAAATCTTACCATCTGCCACTTCTGGCTGAAGTGGTAGTGGATCGCCTACAAATTGGAGCACTCTCATAGTGGGAATGAGGAAGCTTTTAGTCATTCTTGTAGAAAAGAATCTCAGTTTTAAGTTGAAAAGAAAACATTTTTTTTCAGATTAATAATGTTCATGCTTCTGCTCTTCTCTTTCTCAAAATAAATTTCAGAGTTCAGTTCTATTTTCTTGACTACAGTTTTCATCTCTGGCATGCTGTCTTGCAATCACAGACTTGTTGGAAGTGTTAGGCTCTTGGAATTTGTTCTCTTATTTACAGTGACAGGATGCTGTCTTTCATTTTGGTTTGTAAAGTCAAAAAACTTCATAAAAATCTGATCTTTGTAAATACAGAGCCACCTAACAGAACTGCCATTCTTAATCTCAAGTACTTGTGGTTAGACTGCCTGGCTGCATAAAGCGGTAGGGTACCGAGGTCACCTAGCTGGAGTTCACCGATTCCAGGGGAAAGAATTCTCTTCTCATTTTAAGGAGAAAAAAAAAGAATAGCTGCTGCACTAGGAAACAGGCAGTAGGAGAAAAATAAGAGACTAAGGAGCAGTGGAACAATTTTAAGGATACTTGGAAGCTTTTTGGAGACTGCATTTGCAAAACAGATGCTAGGACTTAGAAATGTTGTATTGTGTGTATGCTGTTGTCATGACTGAACTAGGCTTGTGTAATGATACATACACAATAGAGTGGTTGTCTTCTATTTGACCTCATTTAAAATTTATTTTTAAATCTGATTATCTTTTGATGGGGGGCAGAGCCGACCCTAGTGGGGTAATGATACCTTAACACTGCACGGGGCCATGGTACCCCCACAAAGGGGGGGGAGGGGGGGGGTCTCCGTGCTTCTCCATGCTTTTTCCGCGGCGTGGGGCTGAACTGCCAGCTCCAGGCGGGCCCTGTAGGAGTGGCTGCGGCTGTGGGCACTCCACCAGGCCCCCGCAAAGTGCAGGGCCCAGGGCAGCCACCCCGATTTGCCATACCCTAGGATGGCTCTGATGGGGGGTGAGATTTTTTTTCCTCAGGAATTTGATCATGAGATCCCATCGAGAGCCTCAGGTGGTGATGACCAGTTTGTTTATGACAGTGACCTCAAGATACTGGGAACCACTCAATGGGTAGTTCATG